TCCTGATGGACAGTACGGAGCACCCCCCCAGCAGCGTTTCAGTATCCTCAGCCCAAGCCACCCGCCTCCTGCTCCTCCCATGGCCACCTCCCCACCCAACTCCCGACCCAACCTGTCACCTCCCCCTGCACCTCCTCCACCACCCCCAACAAGTGGTTTTGGGGTCCCCCCACCACCTCCTGGTTTTGACAACCCACCCTCCCCTCCACCTTTCTCCTCATCTCCCACTTCTTATCCCTCCCCTCCTGCTGCCCCACCTCCCCCCTCCTCCGCTCTCTCTCCTCCTCCTCCACCACCCCCCATGCCGGCTGGTGGTGGGCCACCACCTCCTCCTCCACCACCACCTCCTCCTGGCCCTCCTCCCCCATCCTTCAACAACTCTGCTCCCCCTCCTCCGCCCTCTGGTGGCGGAGCGGCACCGAGCTCTGCTCCCAAACAGCAGCCGGCCCCAGCAGGTGACGCTCGCAGTGACCTGCTGTGCGCCATCAGACAAGGTGAGTCGCAATTAGACACAAAATGTTTAAAAACTGGCAGTGATCCGTCACAGTTGATACTGCAGGTGGTTGAAAATAATAAAAAGCATTTTATAACTTGATAAATAAATACATATATTTTTCTTTATGAGTTTACAATATGTACTGCCCGTATTTGAGAGCGTGCCTGGGAGCAGGATTGCTGGTTTTAGTTCAAACGATGAATTACATTTGTTTGTTTTGAACTTTCCTTTAGGGTTCAACTTGCGGAAGGTGGAGGCACAGAGGGAGCAGGAGAAGCGAGACCACTTTGGCAACGATGTGGCTGCCATCCTGTCCCGTCGTATCGCTGTGGAGTGCAGCGACAGCGAGGACGACTCCTCGGAGTTCGATGATGACGACTGGTCCGAATAATCTTTGCTTGTCACTGTTCACCACGACTACCGCCATTGTATTCCTTTTAACGTCATCAGAATACGTGCGCCCCACATTTTGTGTGTGAGTGTGTGAACAGGAGAGAATTTGAGATCACGTGTGCACATCATATGTGCCTTTGACCTGTTGATAATCACATTCCTGAGCACATTTGAGTATAGGTGTTTTTTTTTCTATTCAGAGCAATTTGGTCCCTCAGAGGTGCAGATCTGGAGATGAGACTGTGTGATTGTGTCCCAGTTTACCATTCCTCTCACTTGCAAACTGAATGTGTGATCGATGTGAGATCGTTATCTGCTGTGACGCCCATTCTCCTGCTGAGTCATGGCATCACACATAGTGTCTCCGACAATCTGGTGCATGTGAGCTGCAGATTTAACATCCTGATTTAAAAAAAAAAAACTTTAACCAGGCAAAATATATTAAACATCTTAAAGTGCAGTATTTGTAGGTGTCCTGAAAACACCAGGATACGGTTTTCATGTCATCATGTCAACCATCGTCTCCAGTCAACATATAAACGTTTATGTTATATTGCCATCTAGCCAAATTAACAAACATACATTCCCAACAATCCTGCTGTTTTTTTATTAGTGTGTTTGTGTTTTCTTACGTGTGTTTCTTGTGATCGGTTGACTTGTGGATAAGACCTGGTTGTGGTGGATAAATCAATTTATGAATAATTCAGTGGGACAGGAAGTATTAGCTCAGGTCAGAAAGCTGGGGTTTCTGCAGAGACTGACGTATAGTATATTAGCACAAGAACGATTTATTTCTCTTTCACGTCTGTCGTGTTTTTCTCTTTTTTTTTTTTTCTATTTCTGAGGGTGAACTCGGTTGCGTTGCGTCAATCACTGTGTAGGGTCAATTAATGGTCTGCTTTAACCTGCCGTTGGATATTTGTATTTTTATGCTTTGAGTCATTATTAGTTAATTAACTTTATCCACACTTCTCCTAATCAAAAAAATGCCTTTATTGTGTGAAAGGAAGAACTGAGTAGTTTCAACCACAGTTTTTTCAAGTGCCTCTAATCTGGTCTGCTTTCGTTGGAGCACAATCACACATCATGCTTTGCCAAAGTTCTCCATCTCATGCCTTAAAATTTTCTAAGTGTTTCTAGTTATTTCAATAAAAGAGTATATTGCAGTGATTGTTTATATATATATATATGTTGTTTGCAGTGTTGGAACGATATGAATGCTGCTCTGTGATAAGAAGTTCCCAGGAGTACCAAGCACTGTCCAGCCTTGGCCTGATTACTTATTTGTGACTCATACTCTCTAGTCACATTTTGTTTAATGTGTCCAGTGCTGAAGGAGTTTTTACGTGAACTTGATATAAGAGGTGTTTTTCGTCCTGGTGCCACAGCTGCTGTGAGGACCTTAAATGGACGATGCTGCTTACGTGATTGTAATCTGCTGATGTGTGATCAAAGCTAAGGCCAGAGATAAAGGGACAGGCTCGCGAACATGAAAAGCATCGACAGCAGAGAAGGAAGCTGACGTTGTGCAGTAGAAGAGCATATTTTTTATTCATTGGTATAAAACATTCATTTGAAAAAGATTGTGCAACATGAATGTATGGTCAGTACATTTTCAAAGTGCCTTTGACAGCATGTGCAAAATAGAGGCTCCGACATCTGGGACAGTGTTTACTCAAGATTCAAGTAAATTAAAGTGGGCTTTGAAGTCCTCTACACTTTTATACTGAAATAGGCAGAACGATGGAAATTAGAATGCATCTCTTCTTAGGCAAAGTGCTGATGATCTTCAAATCCACTTAAAAAAAAAATAAAGAGGCCACTACTATTTTATTACTATGGTATAGATTTTCCCTAATTGCCACCATGTCAAGAAGCAAATTTAAGAAAATCTGAAGTGGTCCCTACGTTTTCTTTTAGATTGTACAATTACGTTCTTCCATAACTTCTCTGTATTTGATTGTTTCACTCTGGTGGAGCTACCATTGACTGTGAAGGAGGCACAAAGCACACACACAGGACAGTACGTTTAATCTTTGTGTCCGTGGCAGAGCGGGTCTTTAGACGACAGCCTGCCAGGACAGTCCAGTACATTCTGATCTTGAGGAGGACATCTGCTCTTCGAGAAGTGCTGCCTGTGTATGTGGGAGTGTGTGTATGTGTGTGTGGGTTCTTGAGTTTGAGGCTTCAGGTTCTGGGGTCTGGCTGACAGTCAGTACAGCTCTGTCTGTGAATCTTGGCACACGATCAGTGATATGTCTAGATTTAATTTGTTTCATGTTGTTATGATTCATTTGGCAGTTCTACACATCCACCGGGTTGTGGATCTGTGTGTTGTTTGTGTTTCTGTGAGGGCAGAAGGCCTGAAGCAGCACCTTACGAATGTCCTTGTTTCTTAGACTGTAGAGTATGGGGTTGAGCAGGGAGCTACCTGCGGCTGGCACCAGGGTGGCGTAGGTGTACAAAGGAGGGCTGGACGCGTCTCCCAGCAGCCCCCAAAGGGAGAAAGGCATCCAGCAGCCCACAAACACACTGAGCACCAGGATCAGCCGAGAGAATCCCCTGCCACTGCCGTGTTTGCTTGCATATGAAGGGTTTGTTGGCAGGAAGTGCCTTTGGGTAGCAATGGCATGGGCGTGCCTCCTTGCCACACGGCAGATTCCGGCGTACAACTGTAGGGTCACCATAACGACAACCAGGAATCCACCGCAGAGCAGCGACAGATATGTCCTTGTCAGTGGTCGTGCAACAGAACAGGATTCTGGTTCTCCTATGCAGTGCCACCCCATCACCGGTCCAACACCAATGACACACGCTCCCACCCAGACCAGCAGCAGGAGCACAGCAGCTCTGCGACGTGATTGGCCTGAGCCGTAGGTGAGAGCGTGGCTCAGAGACAGGTACCTGTCCAGTGCTACGCCCATCAGGCTGCAGAGCGAGGCAGTCAGGGATGTCACCAGCAACCCTGAGGTCACCAGTTCCGACCAGTCACTGGGCTCCATGCAGAAGAGGAAGAGGAAGTGAAGGATGAGGGCAACGCCTGCTAGAAAGTCAGCCAAGCCCAGGCTTGCAAGGAGCAGGAAGACGGGGGCGCGTAGAGATGGGGTTGCTAGTATTGTGGTGACCACGATGGCGTTTTCAGCAGCAATGAGAGTTCCTGAAACACACAGGGCCACTCCCCATATAGTGAGCGATGGAAACTCATGTGAAGATGGATGTTCATCTAGCTGCTCCACAGGGAAGAAGACCTCCGGTAAACCTGAGGACTCGTCCCACCCCAGGTCTGAGGAGTTCAGGATCATGGCTGGAGAGCAGTCACACTAAGGCAACCTAAGAGAAAGAAGAGGAGAGAGTGGTATGACATTAGCCCTGGATGAGTCACGACACTTTCAACATGAGCGTCCATTAGGCACCGTGTCTTCAACCAGAAGCTGTGGCTTCGGTCTTTGGAGGTTGGATGTGGCATCACCACCGAGCTGAAGGATATGCACTCTATAAAGCTATGAAAATTAAATTAACAACGTTGCAGTAAGTGGTATGTTACCTTATCTACAATAAAACCAATATTTCTCTACAGTTGAGATAATAAGTGTAACAACAGGTGTATTTTTGTTTGGCAGCGTACAGTACTGTCCTTGTGAGTTCTCCTGACGTGAGGTAAGTCTGTTTGCTTGTATTCAACAGCTTGTAGAGAGTGTCCTGATTTGGGAACATTTAATTCTGTCTTGATATTTGAAATATTTGAGATATTTCTTTGCCTTTTCATTAAGGTCTTGTAGGAATTCCCTGCCTAACATCGGACAATTGCCAGAAATACCGAATTCTGTTTACATAACTGGACTACAGTACTTTTAAACTGTGTGAATGTCTCTAGTACACAGAGATGAGAGTGATACATTTGAAAAAAGCTGATTCTATTATAACAATAATGTCAGTATAATAAATATAAAACGTACCCATATTCATTGCCATTTCAGGGGATAAATTTGGTCACATTCTTAAATGACTACACTCACAGAGGTAATGTTGTTTTCAAAGTGTAGCCTTCAGCTTTTGACGTCAGCATCTTTGAAGTCTTTGAGTCTCAGTATCAGCAAATAAGCCAACATTATTATGTCCATATCTTTGTCCTTAGTGAGTCACACTAACTGAGACCCTGGTGCTGTTTTGAAATACCCCAAACCCATCCATGAAATCTGTTGCCCTCCCCTCACCATCTTAAACCTCAGCATATTCCATAATCTGCAATGCCTACACAATTAGATAATAGAGAGCAGTACAAGAACAGGAGGTCCAGATGTTTGGTGTCTCTGGCATGTCATCTTCTTGTTCTTGACATTTCAGGATGTACTGGTACCAAATACTAAATTGTAGCTCTAATATATTCATATATATTTTGTTTCGCCCTCACATAGAGTATCTCCCCCTCTGCTCTTCCTCCTCCTCCTCCTACCTCGCACGTTATCGCGTTCACAATAGGATCCTCTTGTATAACGGCTACACCTGCTGGTTCACTGCACCACAAAGCTTGTCCCCCAACAGTGCACGAACACCCAAAGACGCACAGAGTGCACCGATACAGAGAAATACAGCACATATTCTGTACATACATTAGAATACTCCACATACCTGATGAAGGTGATCTGGTGATTGATTCTTTTTGGTGTGAATTCCGAGCCCAGTTCTGACACGATCCCAGGCAAAGGATGCTGCGATGCTCTCCGCCTGTTGTAAAAAGATGATAATCCAGTGGAATATCTCTCGTGTCTTCATCCAAGTTTGGCAGCTTCACCTCTTTGCCTCTGTTGCATCTTTGTCGTCCAGTCTCTTCGCCGAGCGCTTATAGGTGCCAGAATGGATGCTGTTGCGCGCGGACTCGTCCACAAGAGAGTCTGTCTGACGTCAGCGGCTGCGAGCCTCCACCAATCATGAGCTCGCATTCGGGATGCGGACACAGAAGGGAGGGTATCTAATGTGGAGTAATTTCATTCAGAAAAATGCGGCATCTCTCTGACCCCTCCCACTGCGGCTTGCCTCTCGAACAAACACACACACACACACCTCTTCCCATCAGTTCCCACACATATTTCTCCATATCCCCGGGGGGGTGTTTAGAGGTGGGGCTGTAGTTTGATGGTGTTGGATGTACGGGGCTCTGAGGTTTATTGTTGTGGGGAACTAGCGTAAGTGCGGCGCTGTCCGTGGTGCTGAAGCTCGTCAGGATGAGTCATGGGGCAGAGACGTCCTGCAGAGCAGTTCTGTGTGAATCACTGTCACACTCCACACAAACACTGACAGTGAGCACTCATGCTGAAAATGATATAAGTACCACTTTATACATCTAAAGGTCGACCAGAGCTCCCCGGCGATTTTATTTTCAAAATCGTTCTTTTAATGTCAATTCATCCACACATCGATGCATTTGGGTGATCAAATTAAGAAAAATATCGAGATATATTGAGATGTCCACGGTGTAAATGTCTTCTTTCTGAAGTTGTTTTAATGATTTGAGCACTTTCCTAATTACGCTGACGGACATTTGAATGTAGCAACGTCATTGTCGTGTGGTGTTTTCCCTTTAGGGAGTACACATTACAGGAGCGTGGCAGTTTATACCATCAGCAGATGTAAATACAAGACGCTAAAATCAATAATTTGACGCTATCTACTCCAAGTTCTGATAAACTTTCCAGATTTAGCAGCAAAATTCGATCTTTAGACGAGAAGGGAAGATTTATTTTTTTCTAGTCCTCTCTTGTTCAATGTCATTGGGTTTTGCTGAGATTTTTTTTTAACTCACTTGTGGCACCTGGTGTTGTCTTCTGTCTGTTTTTATCTGCTTCAAGGTTCAACCTGTTTGGCATTTAAATGTGTTTTTGAATACTTTAGTATACTTTATACTTTTTTATATATTTGGTTGTTAAAAATAATTTTCTTAGCACGAATGGGTTTTATTCCTATCTGACATCCAGTCCTATCTCAGGATTGGACTAATCAGATCTTCTGATTACCTTTGAAAAGCTATTGAGCAGGTCTGCCTTATGAAATACCGTGCATTATTATTATTATTAGTAGTAGTAGTAGTATTAATATCGTACTAATATATATGATTATAATGTGAGCAGGAACTTTTGTTGCATCATTGCTGATCGTGATTCTTATACTAAATCGACCAGATTTCTCGTTTATCTCCATCCCACTGAATCCCCCGGCTGGTATAGAGGAGGGTGTAGACGGGGAGGGGGTGGTGGTAGCGGTGGTGTTTAGTGGCTTCCCCAGTTTGATAGTGTGCGGGGGCTGCTGCAGCAGAAGGATGGCCTGAGTGCGCGTCGCGCATATCAATGCGCTGTTCTGACTGCAGCCATATAAGGACACACTTCCTGTCCATGAACCTCCCGCAGACGTCACTGAGTGGAGCTGATGTTCAGTCTCCACAGAGGTGATTCTCGTTTTATGTCCGTGATGAACCACTTGACACAGTTACGGTATAGTAGAACAGCCCAGTGGAGTGTTTTTGGAAAGGCCCGGATGCTGTGTACTAGAACCAGGCATTTAACATTAAATTAAATGGGATTTTATGCATTTAGAACGTGTGGGCGACCGATGCAGCCGTGGGATTGCGAGGGGGAGGAACTGGTGGAATATCCCACTGTTATCACACTCTCTTAATTAGACTTACATGTCAGCCTAGTCCCCTTCAGCTCTGCACCACAGATTGTTCACACACAGCGCTGTATGTGGGAGTTTACATGAGGAGCGTGAAGAGTGAGTGACAAGTGGTGAGAGGCAGTGATGTTGGGATTCACAGTGTGAAAACTGCGTCGTGACACCGGACCTCTGGTCACTGTGTAATGCAGAGACGCTGTTAAATATACAGAGTTACCTACTGGTAATGTGTAGAACAGTGGTTCCAAAAGTAGGGTACGGGGTCCTACAAGGGATGTAGGCTGTCAACAGGGCATTTTTAAAAAATGTATTATTATCTTCTTTTAATTTTTATATATGTAAAAAAATATATACGATACAAGAGAAAAATTGAACAGGTTGGCATTTATTCCCTCTCTTTAATGACAATAGCAGATTTAGAAACCTTTTGTGTTTCTGGTCATTTTATGTAATTCTGCCTATTTTTACATCCATTGCATTTCCAGCTAAGGGGTTTGGGGACGATCGCTAACTCAGTTTAACCTTAAAACCTTAAATTCATACCAGGACTGACACAGGTGGAAGGTTTATGGATTTTCTTAAGCATGTTTCACCAACGTTTTATTAGAGTCCGTGTTTTTTTTCTCTGTGGTCAGGTCCCAAATTAGCAATTTGCAAATTTCAGTAAGTCGTTCTGAAGGACATGGGTGTCATTGCAGACGTATGCAACTGCACTGCATGCTGGGTAAACAGGTGTCAGTCTGTCCAAACTGGTGTGTATTTCAGGAGTGTTGAGGTGGGCCAATTGGTTGCCAGGGAACCAAAATTGGGTGTTGCTCATGTTACACAGATCTCAGTTTCTCTCGTCTTTTTCCTGTTCTCTTTACTCCTTGGCCAGGACACGTATGTCTGAAATCTGCTCTGAGGACATTTTTTTAAAACATCGTTGTTGGTACAATCTTCAGTGAAACTGCCAACATCTCCAGCTGTCATTTTCTCGTGTTGGTGTTTGGTGGGCATTGGGAAGCAGTCGTTGGTCATGAAGGTCCTTTTATCATCACTACTGCTTCTAGCAGCTGTGTACTCTGTGTACTCACAGGCAGGTAAGACTGTATTCTATTGTAATATCTATATATATATATGTAATGGGTAACATATAATGTAATGGGAAACAAACAATTTTGAACGTCTTTTGACTCCATTAGAGCTCAAAATGACAGCTTCCAGTATTGTTGCTGTGTTGTTCACTTGCATATAATGGTGTTCATATTGAACAAACAGATTTGTTTTATATTTTTGACATTACTCAGTTCTTTCCTGATCTCTGATTGGCTCATGTGATACTGTATGTGCTGATATAATGGCTAAGAGTTTTTTTTCATTTTAGATCTAAATGTTGTTTCTTGGTAATGTGACATCAACCGATGGTGATTGGTTGATATCAATGTCTTGAACTTTTAAATGAAACTTTTTTTTTCTCCCTCCAACAGATTGTTCTCTAGCTGATTCATGCGACTTGTGTGTTGGAGTATCTGTTTACAACCTGACGGGCTGTGTCTGGAGGCTTTGTCCAGAGGGTGACACATGCACACACACACACAGTCTGGTTTTTTATGATTTGTGAATCCTTCACATAGACATAACACATTCCCTAACACCTGACCTCAGTGGTAACCATTACAAATGCAGGCCTAGTCTTAATCCCTAATCCTGACCTCAAACTATATCTTAAATCTCAAAATACCAATTTTTCTAGTGGGTAACTAAAAAACCCAACAAAGCATTTTTCTTTTTAGAAATGTCCCCACAAAGATAGCTATACTTACATCACACACACACACACACACACACACACACACACACCAACCACATACATACCTGTAGCTCCTGATAGTAATTCAATCATCACAGCTGGTGTAACATAAGCTAACTTGTTTGTACAAGTTGACTGAATTATTTAGCATGCTAGGAAAACACACGATCCTACACACACTCACAGGTGCGCGCACACACGCACACAAAAACACATCCACACACACACACTAATAGGTCCATTCTTTTGATCTCAGATAATGATGTAGGCCGATGTGTGACTGATGAGGGTGACGTAGCAGACAGCCGCAAGGAGTGCAGCTGGACCAGAGTGGCTGAACTGTGCACAGGTACCAGTCAGTTTTGCCCTGCAACTGACTCAACTATTTCCCTATGAAAATCTTTGACATTTTTTTCTCCTTTTGTTGCTCTATTTCCTCAGTGGTGGAGATTGTAGCTGAGGACCAAGAGGAGGGAGGCTCAGGTACATTATGTTAGCTCTAACCCAGCATCTTCTCCCACCCCTCCTTTTTCATTTGCGTCACACATTCATTATTGCCCTAAAGCTTGAGGAAAATGTTCCCCAACACCATTTACTCAAACTGACAGGCTGTTCTCTTTCCGCCCAGCCTCAATTTTATGTAATTTAACCCAATCAACCCATGGCACCGTGTCCTCTCTCTACAGGTGATGACAAAAAAACAGTCACACAGTTTTCCCAGGCCAAGTTCGACATGTCCAGTTTCATCGGTGGCATCATCCTGGTGATGATTGTGCAGGGTGGTGGCTTCCTCGCCATGCGGTTTCTCAAATCCAAAGAGCAGAGCACCTATGAAACCATGTGAGTATGTGCACGTACGTGTTAGGATACAGAACATTTAGCATGACTTTACGAGACTGAGTATGAGCGTGTGAATATGCCCGTGTCAATGTGAGGAGGGACAATTTGTTGGTACAGCAATAGCAGCCCCTAGCGGCCGGAGTTATTAATAACAACCAGCTAACGTTACTTGACCTTCACTGTCCCTCCCAGTTGTGTTTTGATTCTGAACACTCACCCTGTCTGTCCATATCAACCCACGTGTCTGTTATAACACAGAGAGCAGCCACAGTGAAGTCAAGACTCGTGAAGGACAAGCAGAAGAGGTGGGAGAACGTCAGAACAGTGACTCATCATCTTGGGACCATAGTTTTTTTCTTTTTTCCCTTTGTGAGCCTCTGTAATTTTTTTTTGTTTGATCATGATGTCTACCACAGAGGGTTGGTTGTGTTTGTAAGATGCTATTTTTAGCTTCATGTTGCTGCTTGTGTAATAAGTGTCTGTGCACGTATTATATTATAGAGTGAGGGTCATACCATCCAAAAAAAAATCAGGAACTTACATTTTAAAAGACTCTAATTGCTTCATGAGATGTAAATCTTCCCTAGAACACGTTCTAAAATAGGAAAAAACCCATCAAAGCACAGGGTGAATCTGTCAAATCAGTTGTTTTACTGTAAAGTCAATGGGAGCTGCAGCTCAAGTCAAAAGAGATCAGACAGATCACAAAAAGACATTATGCAAAAATGAGTTTGAATTCTGACCTTTCTGTCCTGTTAGAATTTTATTTTTAGTTTCAATAGGAATTTTAAATTAACTGGCTGTAGTTTTTGTCGTGTGGAGAATGTCATGCTTTGTGTTTGAGTGTAAGTGGGGTTTTTTCCCAAACCGACTTTTGTAGCTAAAGAGTGGATGTTTTCGCTATAGATTTAGTCTTATTTTAGTTAGTGATTAGAAATTAGTATTTAGTATTTATTGCTGTTAGAAAAGTAAGCGGTGCACCTGGCACACCTCTGCCAGGTATACTGTGTGCTTCTCAGTTGTGTGGAACTTGGTGCAACTTGTAGTGGAGATTCCTGTTGATGGCTCTTAATTCTGTCACCTACAATACATATCAGCTTTATTGAAAAAAGGGGTTGAGTGTGATGCAATGGACTCACCATTGGTTGTTTAATTATGCTGTTTGGATGTGTTCTGTTATGCCATGTGAATGAAAAAAAAAAGATTATCAGGATTGGTTGTCTGAATAAACAAACAAGAAATATCTGTTTTCACAACATTGAACGGTTAAAGACATGTGGTGATATGTCAGATAAAAATGACCTTTCTTTAGGTGGATGTTGTAGAGCCCAGTGTATAGTGCAGCATTAACAGTGACATTTGAGGCCTTTAGCAGAACAGCAGGGTGGTTGGTTGGACGCTCCAGTCTCTGTCTGTGCCAGAGTCCACAGGCTTGAAGAAGCCCACACAAAGAGGGCTTCCCAACTGGGCAGACTGTGGCTGTCATCCAAGTCTGCTTACAAAAGAGAGAAATGAATGCTCTCACTGACACCCCCCACCCCACCCACCACTCTGAAACCGTCTTTCCTCACACAAACACATTTGCATTTTCCAGTCAGAGAAAGGAAAGTCTGACATACAGACAATGCTACAGTTGTTTCCCTTCTGCTTTTAAACAAGCAGGGAGCTGTGTTTATATTTGTATTGTGACCGTGTGTGTGTGTGTGTGTGTGTGTACAAAGAGTAAGTGTGTGTCCTAGTGTGTGTTTAACAGGTGTGGGGACACATAAGACGGAAAATTTCATTCCCACCTCCACCCTGCTGTTGGTGACAAAACATCCGTGTGTATTTGTGTATGTGTGTGTGTGTACATATTTATTTCTTCTTCAGGACATCTACTAGTATACATATTTATATAGTATGGACTACCGCCTGGGCTGTATATTAGGTAAACATCTCATTGGCTCTACAGACCAAAACTAGTTGTTAATTTTTGTTACGTTAATGATAGTGATGGACTTCATTAAAGTTGATTTTGTCGTTTTAGTTTGAGCTCTGCATTGACTTAACTACCTTTGATTATGTCTCACCTGTACACACTACAAAAAAATCTTGAATTTTAATTGTAGCCAATTAAGGACAAACCCTGAACTCAACTTAAACTGGTGCCACTATTACTGTATGTATGAACTGCTTCTCATTTCGAACTGTTCTTTAAATAGGCACTTCAAAACAAAAGCAAGGTTACGACTTGGTCATATACAAGTATAACTGTTCTGCTACTAAGGATATGAGTTGTATTTTTTTTTTAATTGGAGGTTTTTACTGTGTTTGTATCTGTGGAGACTGACAGACTCTAGAGGGCGTGTTCACTTCGTTTACTTAGCACACACAAACGCACACATACAGAATACACACACATCCACCGAAGTCAGCCACAACTTTTCACCCAACTTTCACACGGATGGAGGTGATGGACGCTGACAAATAAGGTAGGGAAAAGTTGTGTTTTTTCCTATCGTTTCTCATAGTGTGTGTTGTACAGTACGTGTCACTGGAAAGTTTCGTTTGGGTTCTTTAATGTGGGAAAGTGTGACAGGTGTGCTGTCTCTCGCGGTGCTCATGATGAGGGAAGTGCAGCACAGGCCTAGTTCCCCATGGAGGGACTTCTGTAAATAGTCATAAACAGACACGTCGGTACCGCTGTGTGATTTAATGCTATCTAAATATGTTTCTTTTAAACGGGAGATTGGGTACTATAGATTTTTTTGACTAAACTGTTTTTTACCGTGTACTCTTGTATGACTTATTTCCATAACTGTTTAGGTGGTGCACCGTTTGTGTGACATCCTGTTTGCCAGTCTTAACGTCTTGGGCAGGGGATTACTCTGCGCATGCGTAAATTACTCATAGGTAAGTAGCCTCAGGCAAACACAGGTGCTTCTTACACTCGTATACAAACAGAATACAGCAGAACGTAGGGTATTTAAATGAAATATAAATTAAAAAAAGGTACATTTTCTGACGGTTTGTACTTATGAAAGTTGTGTAAGGACAATATTGAATACTTTAATATAAACTCGTGCTAGAATTGTCGAAATATTTCTAAGCTATGTTAGCTAGGCTATGCTAGCCGTTTGCTTATTTCCTACAGTTAAAGCTATTTTCTTTCAGGGTCTAACAGCCGTCCATTGCTCCTTTTTTCTGTTAAAAACTAGCGTTGTTGTTCGGCTTAAATGTACTGTATAAAACCTCAAAACATTCTGTCTAGGTATTATAATACATATTGAGTTATAAATACCTTATTTAGCCGACAACGTTTTATACGAAGCTTTTTTTGTTGTGTTTAACACAGTGTTGTATTTAGCAACTGTATCAGATATATACAGTTATTAGCATGTTGTATGCATATATTTGCGTTTATATCTCCATTTAAAGCAAATGGGGGGATTTATTATTTATTTATTATTTGCCAAAATTGATTCAGCTGATAAACATGAGGAAAATATACAACTCTAAATTAATATGGCTGCCCCAAGACAGAAAGTGTTTCTGTTTTTGTTGTTGTTGGGGTTTTTTTTTTACAAGTATTTAATTACATATTATACATACATATTTAAATCAGTCTACTTTAATTAGGTTTAACAGATATTTTTGCTTAATTATGATAAAATGTCAATTGATTATTCTAGCACTTTTGTGGTTCTCAGACAGAGTTTGTTGGTATTTGTTTGAACATTTTAAATAGTGTCAGAAAGTAGACTTAGTCTAGTTTGCCAAATGTAAACATTACTTGAAGCCAGGCACAAAGAACTTAACCATACTTTTTGTCTGGTGTATTTAATTTGGACTTAATCATTTACTTTGCGTTGGATCAGGTGGTTTGGAACCTGTGGTGTATTTTATTAGCACTTTCAAAGCCTAAATCATATCATGTCATAAAGCCTTTGCACACAGCCCTCAGTAGTACATTGAGGACAAAAACTACAAGCCCAAAGTCATTGGCCATTGGAACAGCGTGTGTCGTCTCCTGCTGTGGTAACAAATCCACAGGAGGACACTTGTTCTCAAAGCACACAGTGCCCTGAAAGTGCAGGGTTGTTTCCAGGCTGAGGAAATTAGTAATTTTTTAATCTGAATGTTGCCTGAAGAAATCCAGACACATTAACAGGATTTTCTCTTTTAATTAAATGGAACAAAGTACACTATAATGAATGTCAAGATCATCCATTAAAATTACTTATAAATTCTCCATACAACATGTGTTGATCCTTTGTTCTGTAATGAGAAAAAAGTTAAGCCGCATTTCAAAGTACTTATCAGTTTCTACACTGGCACAAGTAATATAACACTACAGATGTATTGTAATGAACAAACACAGTTTTATTTTCCACTCAACAGTAACCAGTACAAATACGACAGTGTTTGTTGAAGGTTTCTGTTGTAGTGTAATTACCTCTCAGGGATGGAGGGAGACGAGTCGGACGCTTCTCTTGACCTGAGCCACCTGTCAGAACAGGAGCAGACCGTTATCCTCAGGGTCTTAGAACGAGACCTTGAATTGCGCCGTCTTGACGAAGGACGTGTGAGGTCAGAGCTGATTGTTTGTCCTTCCTGGTGTCAGTTCTGTTGTTTACAATAGGCAAAAATAAAAAAGCAATGGGTGTTGAGTATTTGGGAAAAACAACACATAGTACCATTTTTTTAAACAAAGGAAATATTTGAAAAAAAGTTTTTAAAAATTAAGTTTTGTAAATTTACGGCAAGCATAATTTTCCCACTTGAATGAAATCTACTGAAACAAAAAAAATGAATCAGTTGTGTATAAAAATATTTGTTGATCAAATAGCTAATTTGTTAATCATTTAATTGTTGGTGAACCGCAGCAGCATTAGACCGAGTGTGGTCTGAGGATAAGGGTTGGTGTAAGAGGGAACAGGCAGCCACGATGTTGTAATTGTAATGATCTATTGTTTTCACCTTCGCAGGGTCCTGGAGCAGACAGAGTCTGATCCAGTACGTCTGAGAACCCTGTCAGGAACATGGTTCAGTGAACTACGCAGCAAGCGTCACCACAGCCAGAAGTCCGGCAGTGACCTTGTCCACACCACCATTCGCCACAGAAGGACCAAGAGCAGAGGTCAGTTACAGTTAATGCAGGGCGTCTAGCGCTGCTGGACTCTGGGGGCTGTTTCCGTGCTATTGTCCTAGGGATACCCCACTGATGGATCTCGACTTGTTTCCATGGTAGCAGATGTATCCCTGACTGGACTGTTTAATGGAACAACGCCACACGACGACAGCTCATCAGAGGCAGAGAGTAGACTGAAGGACAACAGAGAGCAGGCGAACGGAGGGTTAGTGAAGAAAATGTGAAGGAAACAATGTAGTTCTGATTTTTGCAAGATGTGTGCATCACCTTTCTTTTCCTGTTTCCTTGTTTGCTTTTTCAGGAATTTAAAAACAAGAACAAAAAGCCCTGTAGTGCAGGTCTTTTTACTTTTCTTTACTTTTAATTAACGAATCATTCCTTAGTCATTATCTTCTTAAAACAATTATTTTTTTAAATTTTAGAGTCTCCATCACACTAGCAGCTCAGCGTCGTCCTCCAAAGGTATGATGGTTTCGGTAAAACACACACCCTCCCTTGATATATCTCTTAATTGCAAACAAGTTGTTTATTTGCCTTTATACCAAATTCATTAGTAACCTGAAATGTGTTTATGATGACTAATAAAAGGTTCAGTTACTAGTAATTTGTGTTTATGTGAACAACAACCTATTTTTTTTATCTTATTGTACAAACTTGGAGTCAATAGAGGTGACCCAGAAATATCATCAAGTTAGCCATTAGTAGCTAAAATAAGCCAATAAGTGTCCCACACTAGCCTAAATATGCCAAAAACACACAAGAAAAAGAAATTCATAAAAATATCTGAACTAACTTAAAAAGTAGCCCAAGAAGAAACAAATAAAAGGTCCTGAAGGTAATGCCAATTTCCTACCTCAGCTTATTATTATTCCTCTTTGTAATCATAATGTTCTTTGTTCTGTTCTCAGAAAGGAGAAACACATGCCACTCAGAGGAAACTGAGGTGATCATTTCACTTTCACACAATTTCACGATTAACTGCACACATGGACTAGCTAATCCAATTTATATTCAAATGAGCCAAAAAAAAAGACATTTTTAAATACTTGCATGTTTTCAGTGATGATTATTTTGTTAATAATAAGATGGACAGTCATTAGTCTTCTATAGATATACAGTAGTGATGTGGTCTGTTCTGTTCAGGATGACTTTGACTGTTTCAATGGGGACACTGACTCACTGAGCAGCAGCCTGACGGAGCCAGAGCCAGCTTCTCAGAAAACCAGCAGCTCCAACAGCAGTCTGCATTCAGGCTACACTGTATGCTCACACACACATTTGATTAATTGTCCACAGTGTTACGCAAGATGACTCAGCTGGCGACAATGACGTAGATGCTGCTATGGTGTGTACTTGTATTTGTGTGTGTGTTGTAGCTCGGTGGGAGCATGATGAGTTTGTTCAGCTCAGGAGATTTTGGAGCGGTGGACGTGACGGGCCAAATCCAGTTCTCATTGGTTTACGAAAGCCAGAAGGAGGAGCTACACGTCAGGGTGTACCGCTGCGAGGACATAGCCTCAGTACGCAAGAAACGCTCTGACCCGTGAGTGACAATGCATGTGGGGCAAGTTGAAAAAACACTGCTTGTAAAAGCAAAGTTTCATAGCACTATAACACATTGCATGTTTTGCAGATATGTTAAAACCTACCTCCTACCAGACAAGTCGAACCAGAGTAAGAAGAAAACTTCTGTGAAGAAGAAAACACTCAACCCTGTGTATGATCAGACACTCAAAGTGAGACTCGCTCATTTGCATTTTACATTTGAATTTTTTCTCTACCAGCCATCTGTCCTTGAGCTTATGTCCTTGAGCCCTTTACTTAGAGCTGTAGTCACTTTTTCGTCCAGTTGAGGACTTGTCCTTTTTTTCAATCTCCTTCAGCTTGGTTGTCACGACATCACCTGAAAAAAACCCACAAAGTCTGTGTTATAACTCTCTGGTTATGGTTTCACGTGTCTGCAGTATAAAATGAAGATTAACGAGCTGCGGAGTCGGACGTTGAATCTGTCGGTGTGGCACGACGAGCCACTTGGGAGGAACGTGTTTCTGGGTGAGGTGGAGGTTCCTCTGAGCCACTGGGACTGGACCTGCACTGAGCCGCTTTGGCAGACCCTGCAGCCACGGGCAAGTATAGGTCAATGACCCAAATCGTTAGAAGCCTTTGTTATCATTTATTGGAGTACCTACATTTTTATGTAATAGTAAACGTGGCAGACTAATGAAAATACAAGACGCAGAAGGAGAAGCCC